AACTGGGGAGCCTAAGTGATACCCCCTAAAAACCGCCTTTGGGGACTGACAACTAGCTGTTTAAAGCTGCACATGCCGTGTCGTAAAGCGACCCTCTTTTGGGAAAAAGAAGGCGCAGGCGGCTATAAGCCGCTGAGGGAGTGCCTACGAAGGCATTTTAATTATGAATACAATTTAATTATGAAAAGTTAATTATGAATTTGACTGAGCCGCCAGGAGGTAGTTCAAGTCGTTTGACAGTTTGTTTGGCGGATCCGAGAGAGAGTTTCTCGGCCTGCGGACGCGATAGCGGGAGGGGAGTGGGGCTGCATAAGTAGCTGCCTCACGAATTAATGTGTTACTATGCGACTCTGAGACTTTGAAAAAGTTTTCAGAGAGTTTTTTGATAAATTGTTGTATTGTTGGGATTTCTAAATCCCTATGAAGGTCGGCATTACGGACGTACCAGGGTGCGTTCGTAGCTCGACGACAGAAGAGATTTTGGACTATTTGAAGTTCGTTTATGATTTTAGAGTTTGCGTGTGCAAAAATAGGGGCCGCGTAGGACATTACCGGTCGTATACAAACCTTATAAAGGGTTCGCTTATTTCTTAGAGACATTTTACTATGTCGACCTAACATACTGTTAAGCCTACCTAGATAGAACCGTGCTAGATGGGTGACTCTTTTGATATGAGGCTCGAAAGTAAGCCTTGTGTCAAGGGTGACACCTAAATATTTAGCAGACATATGCCAGGGAACTGTGGTCTCTAACATACGTATTGGTGGGATATTTTTATTGATTTTGAATCGGCGTCGTTTCCAATCGAATTGAACTGCGGAGCTCTTATCCGGGTTCACATCGATGCGCCATTTTTGGAACCAAGCTCCTAGGTCATCGACTGACTTTTGGATCTTGTTCCTTACGAAAGGTAGTGTGTGGCCTTTAAAGTAAAGGGCAGTGTCGTCTGCAAATAGGGAGAGCTGTACACCATTAGACGGGATTGGAATGTCGTTGGCGTAAAAGATGTAGAGGAGGGGAGCAAGTACTGATCCCTGAGGAACACCAGCTTTGATGGGTCTCTGAGAGGAGAGCGTGCCTTCGTATCTAAAACGAAAGGTACGAAGTTGTAAGTAAGAGGCCACGAGACGTACTAGACGATCGGAGAGACCTACTCTGTATAGTTTAAGTATAAGGCTTTCGTGCCAGACTCGGTCGAAGGCTTTGGCGATGTCGAAAAAGACCGCGATGGTTTTATGTCGACGAGGATAAAAACCGCTGAGGATGTATTCCACAATGCGGTGAACTTGTTGGGGGCAGGAGTGTTTCGCTCGGAAACCAAATTGGTGGGGGATGACAATAGGGTCACCGTCTGTGGGAAACAGATAGCGCCTCATTCGATTTTGAATGACTCTTTCAAAGAGCTTGCCCATCGCCTTGAGGAGGCTAATGGGACGATGACTGGAGGGGAGGTTTAGAAGCTTGCCTGGCTTGGGAATACCAATGACAGTTGCCTCTTTCCACGTAGTTGGAAAGTAGCTAAGATTGAAGCAGGCATTGAAAATAATAGCTAAGAGGGTTAACACCTGCTCTGGAAAGTGTTTAAGGGCTTGGTTGGAGATGCCGTCCGCGCCCGGAGCTTTTTTGGGCTTAAGTCCTTTGATGAGGGACGAGATCTCATCATTGGACACTGTAATGGGGTCAGAGGTTGTAGGGGGTGAGTTCCGACGGCGGACCTCATCCTCCACTTCCTGAATGTGAGGGGTCGACAGGTTGAGAGCTAGGAGAGCATTGTTCGGCAATGCTATCTGCGAAGCACTCAGCCTTTTCGTCGTCCTCGAAGGCAACCGTACCGTCGGGGCAAGAGAGAGGGGGAGTGTGAGTTGTAGCGTCTATACGGAGGGCTCTAGCCATCTTATAGTACGCTGTATGTGAGGGAGATATATTCTCCATGAGTTCACTCCTTTGGAGGTCTCGAAGTTCGGAGAGTTGGAAACGGAGTTGTCGTTGAAGACGATTCGCCGTGTGCCTATATTCGGGGGTGGGATATTTTGCTGCTCTCCGGAAAGCAGCTTTTTTAGCTTTTAATAGATTGCTGATATGTAGGGGAAGCCCACTATTATTAGCAACCGGTACGACCCTTTCATTCTCCTTAAGGGAGGATTTAATGAGTGTTGATAGTAGTGTAGTTGTACCACTTCTAGACCACCTGAGTCCGACGTGGTTCAACGACGTTCGTCGACGCCCGATCCTAAAAAAAAAAAAAAAAAAAAAAAAAAAAAGGTTTTGGCATGCTCTGATCACGAAATCCATTTTTGTGTAGAATGCACGGTTCCGGAGATGTGTAGATCAATTAGCTAATATCTAATTGATATCCGGTAAGGGCCTCCACCGTCATTAGCGTCCCATTGTTCCTATTTCTATTGTTCTATTGTTCATTAATCACCCGAGCGTGTGCGTCGACTATATCAGTGCTATTGTTTATTATAATTCTTTGTTTATACAACGCTAATCTGAATCATCAATAAAACACATTACATAATTTTGTTACAATTTTTATTTATAAAATACAAAATCTTATTAATTATTATCTATAAAATAGGAGCGAAACATCTCATCCACTAAAATATCGTTGTACAATGTGTTCCTTGTAAATATACTCGTAAAACTATGTATTGAACATCCTTGAAACTTATATAGTAAATACATTAAGCAATATTCGCCACAAACTGAAGTCCACTCATTCTGAATCCTATCAACATTCCAGTTCCATCTTTTACAATTCCTTTTTAAAAACTCTAGATGATATCGTACAGGTGATCGTCCATATGAATCAAAATATTGACCGACGTCATTCGTATCGATATATAAAGCTACCCAATGTGACCCTGGTTTATCATCTGTATCCAAATTACATATTATATACGTTGGTACGTGGGTATACATAGGCAGTCTATTAGCTGCATAAACATTATTTTCTAGACTGGGGTGAATCTTTTTCAGATGTTGTTGTACATCTAGTGTATCCATGATATTACTGCTATTAGTAGATTATTACAGTACCTAGCTACTCAATGAATAACATAGGAATGGTCAATTATAGTGATTTCTACATATTAAATTGCATTTTTGTGATATACAAATCGTACTTGAGTCATTGATCACCAAACAAAACACAATACGAAGAAATGTTGAGATAGGCAACGGAAATGTGAGATAAACTGATATGTTTCTAAATATTAAATTGCATTTTTGTGTTATACAAATCGTACTTGAGTCATTGATCACCAAACAAAACACAATACGAAGAAATGTTGAGATAGGCAACGGAAATGTGAGATAAACTGGTTGACGCATAAAGTAATTATCAACTCATTACGGAAATACTTTAGATTAGAATTTTTACGTACTGGTGGTATATAAGACCAACAAACGCAGTCATCGAGTTAGTGTACGGTCGTTTGGCTACAGTGGATCTATCAATAGTACATTTGTGTTACTTCAATACACCAAAGGCTATGGATGTAAGTGTTTATTCTATTGACTAAATTACTTTTTTTCTGTTATTTTCATGTGTGTGTATTATTTTATTTAAATATTGTGTATGTATATGATTAAGCCGTGGTAACTCAGATGGTTAGCGCTAGCTGTAAATTTCACAGTACGCGACCCGGGTTCGATCCCCGCCAGCACCAATTAAATTGTTAATAGCAATTTTAAGTGCTTATTACCACGTGCTTGGTGGTGAAGGAAAACATCGTGAGGAAACCTGCATGTCTGAGAAAATTTCGAAGGCATGTGAAGTTCGCCAACACACATTGAGGGAGCGCGGCGGACATTTCCTTGCTCTAAAACCCTCTCAGAAATGAAAGGAGGCCTATGTTCAGCAGTGGACTTTAATAGGCTGTAACTTTAACTTTTTTAACTTTTATGATTAAGTGTTAACAAATTGATATTAACATGATAACTGTGTTGTTGCAGAAATCATTGAGCTTCGATGAAGATACCTATAAACAGTATTACTACTCGCCACTCTCCCCTCAAGAAGAGAGTGATAACCTCGTCATTAATAATAACACATGCGATGGTGGAAAAAGAAAATCGCAATCGATTGATCATTTTTTTGAAGCTGAATAAAAAATAAAAAAGAGGAAGCTGTTATCATCAACCGTAGCACGAGCCGCTAAAGATGGTGTATCATACATTTCTACTAATTCTGACGACGGAGACCAAGCGACGCATCTCATCAAAATTGAAATGTACGATATGAAGAAGCTATCCAAGATTCCAACTACTGATCATTGGAAACATGCTTCCACTAGAATTAAATATTACGTAAAGACTAATAAGGATAGCATCTACGACAACACAAACGCCCTCGTATACAATATAACAAAGACAATAGCAGAAAGTGAAAAAGTTAAAAAATACTTTTTTAACAATGACAGTCATTAGCTGATCATTAGTGAATGTGATTCTGTTTACTTCAATTACAGGAAGACAAGAGCGGAAGGAAGAGATGAGTGTGGCATACGTGTACAAAACACATCATTGAATAACAAAACTACAACACTGAGTGGAGAAGAAAACGAGAAGAGTATGCAGTACTCAAGAGCTGAATATCCATTCTTCAGTTCAAAATCTAGCCGTTTGCTTAGTTTCGAAAACTGGCCTCTCGTTATGCGACAGAAACCTGAAGATCTTGCAGAAGCTGGTTTCTTTTATACTGGCCATGCAGACGGGACCAAGTGTTTCCATTGTGGTGGTGGTTTAAAAGATTGGGAAGATGATGATGATCCTTGGCAGCAGCATGTTCAGTGGTTTAGTCAGTGTGCTTATGTAAAATTTCAACTCGAACAGTGTTTTGTATTAGATTAAATAGAAGATTTATAAAGAAATAAAAAAAATATATTGCATACAATTTGTTTTATTTAATTTTATAACGTTTCACATAGTTACATACACACAAAATGCATTACACATAACACATAAAATCTAACACACAGCACATATTATAACCTTAACTACTATAGTCTACAGTAACATTTCTGTTTTTATCTATCTCAATAATATTATCAAACTCAGCATAAACTATACAGTTAATTGTTTGTATTAATGAGGATTCAAATCGTACTTCTATTCTTACACTACCATGCTTTATGAGATTCCAATGAGTTGATGAGTTAGCTGATAAATCAGGAGTTAAGTCAAATGCTAATAGACAGTAACCTTTGCCATACTGTTCACAAGAGATTCCATTTCCTTCATTAAGAAAGTGAATACCAGTTCCCGAGAATAGAGTATGATATGCTGATGTAAATATGCTATTATTAAAAGATGGTTGCAAAGCTTTTGAAGGTATTTGTTGACCATCAATATATAAGCTGAAAGAATTAATACCATAGTTTTCAAAGTTAAATGGATTTTTAGTAAGGGAACCATTAAATGCAGAATTGTTCACAAATCCAATTATACATCTTTTCGGTACCTGTCCTAAAAATATATTATCAAGAGTTTTTCCTTGAACACCCGAAGGAATTGTTAAAACTTTTACTTCAGCTCGAGTAATAGGATATTTAGCAGTGGTAGAAGCTAAAACTTTTTGATGTGCGAGTAATACACTTGGATTAATTCGTGCTCGTCGAACAATAAGAGTTGCGTCCGTAATGCAAACTTTAAACTTTACATCGTTTGACCCAACAATTAAATTAAAACTCTCTCTTGATCGAACCAATTTAACACTCATTTCAACACCATTAATTAAAAATTTATCTTGGTTAAAAATGTCACCGTGAAGATGACCAATCATTTCTATTTCCTTACTTTCACTAATCAATTCCTGTCTTTTAACAAATCCTATGTTTTTACCATCTGTAGAATCCATTTTTCCTGCTGTATCCTCATACCAAAGACTACAAGTAAGATGAGATTGTTTAGCAGCAGGGGCATAGTTTAAAAGGGTTTCCATGTATGCTCGATATGCATAGGTATTATTAGGTGGTGATACAAGTTTTTGGTTTAAATAAACATCAAGTTGACTAAAAAGTGAATGCAGCCAATTATTTACAGGTGCTACTATTGTAGTAGATACCGAGTTAGTTGAATCTTGATTTAATGCTTTTGCCTTTATGTGGAGTAATGTATGAGACAAATCTATGTAGTCATCGCCGGTCCCAGGAACTTGAAACTCGATAGGTCCATCATCACCAAGAGATGAAATTGGTTTATAATGAATCCACAATCCATTTTCAATGCTAGTTTGTGTAGACGGTAGTGCAAACAAATCCAATTCTGACTTAACGCACTCGCAAGAATGATTATGAAGGAAAGACATATTTAGTTTGAAAATATATCTTTGATATTTTTTGGTTTTAGACTAAGTTTTTTCGCAGCTTTCACTTTAGCAGTTAATGGTGGAATGAACGATGTCAATCGTTTTCTTTTAGTTTTATACCCAGATCCAGTCATGTTAAATTAATCAATTTTCTCATCAGCCTTTCGTTTTAAATTCGTACTAACTTGCTTTAGACGATCTTTTATTGAGGCTTCCATAGGACGGGCTTGAACCATATCCGATAAAAGTCCTACTCCAGCGCTTAATGCCTCCTTACCAATCACTCGAGCACCACTTGAAAGTAAAGGTAAAACTGATCTGAATAACCCCCCTAAGAAGCTCCCAATACCATGACCGCGTTGATATGGTGAACCCTTATAAATTACTCCAACTCCTGATCCAGCTTGATGTGTATAATAATTTTCATATGGACATTTATGATGATCACGAAGAGAATTCATTATTATAATTTTCGGAAATGTAGTTTAATACACACGGTTCCAAACTGGAATGGTATTTTTTGTCCTGTACTCGATCTTATAACTATTTCCAACGTATCGAACTCTCTTCGCATAACAGGTAAGTAGTGAGGTTGAGAGAAAACGTGCATTTTATTTGCACCATAAATGTATTTTGTAGGATCTAATGAAATGACTCTTAATAAAGGAGTCATAACATCACCCACAATCTGAGGATCGATAATGTCGCAATATAGAAATAGTTGAGATGGTAACCCTAAGTGTAAATTAGCAGGACACTTTCCAAAATTTCTCTCTAGGAGATTTTTATTTGGTTCATAACCTAGCTGTAAACTTAATTTGGGTGATAATGTTACGGATGTTATATTTTTATCCAATACCGAAATAGACACAAATTTTGTTATTTCATCATAGCGAAATTTCATGTTCTCTCCGATACCATTTAACACTCTTAAAATATGCTCAACGTTATCATAGTTGGTAGCTGGAATATGTTTTTTGTAGTACACTGTGGATGGCTTATCTTCATTAGGCATTAACATAGATTTTGTAATGTATATAACATTTTCATGGTCTTGAACAGTAAACATGGTACATGGATATTGAAACTCGACAACTCCAACCGACCATTCACCTTCTAATTTTATAGCTTTTGGTAATTTCGTTGAAAAATTTGTGGTCTTGTTATCAGGAAAGTATTCCATTGAACTATTGCTGAGCAAAGTTAAATAGAAACTTTCTTTATTCATATTTCTTTTAAACTAGAAGCTAAAATCCAACTGTTAAATTTATCTGGATAACCTTTCCACTTCACTAATACTTCTTTTCTGTTACTTGAATAACGAGTGTCAATTATTTTATCTATTTTATGTTGTGAGGTGGGGTTGTAAGTGATTTTCTGTAATTCTCTTTCATAAAAAGTACCAATTATTGGTTCATTTTGTAAATCTGTTATTGTATAAACAACCCATGGAGATCTATCAATTATTGAAGATATAATAAATATTTCATCACTCCAATTTGATTCATATCCTTTTTGGAATACATGTTTATATTTAGTTATTCGAACATAATCACCCACATTGAAATTTGGTTTAGGATTTTCTAAAGAAAGTTTTTTTGACCGTCTATCATAAAGATTAGTCCAAACTGTCATAATATTGTTGGAATTTACATCACATGGGCACATCCTAATACTAGAGTGAAAGCTGTGATTATAAGAGTATATTAAATCTTGTAAAACATCTATATATCTATAAGTATTATTATGAGTGAAATAACGCCACATTTTCATTTTTAGTGTTCTTTGAAATCGTTCAACAATACTGGCCTTAATGTCAGGATTGTTAGTGGTATAGTAATTAATCTTTTTGGATTTAAAGTATTTTTGTACATCTTTTGAAACAAATTCTGTACCTTTATCGGATTGTATGTGAGTAGGTGTTAAATTACTTTCAGTAAATATACTTTCAAAACATTCTTTAGTTGTTTCTGAGTTTTTCTTTTTCATTGGTCTTGCAAAAGCATATTTACTAAATACATCAATAATACAAAGTATATACTTGAAACCATCATTATATTGAGAATAAGTTCGCATATCACTTAAATCAGCTTGCCACAGTTCATTAATATTTGATAGAATGTACCTATTACGCGGGAATTTTTTTCGAATGGGTTTATGTAATGTGTATGTTTCTTGTGATTTTAACCATTCCTTTACTTGCTTTTTATTCATTTTACCCTTCATGGCTTTTGATAATTTATCAATACTACCAAAACCAGCGGAATTAGATGGATCATAATAAATCCTGTTAATTTCTTCTAGTACGGAGTCCATTTTTCCCACTCAAGTCCTTTACGTATTTTAGTTGTAGACTTTTTATCTCTACTGCACGGTGTAGAAAACTCTTGAACTTCAATCTCAGAGGGTTTGTTCAGATCTTTTGCTTGAAGTTGGTTAATAAACTCACATCTCCTTGGATTTCCAATATAAGTAAGTGGTACTTTAATATCTTTTAATGCTTCAGCAAATCTAACCCACCCTACCGGATCACTTCTTTTTAGGGGTCTTAGTGAATCATTTATTAAATCAACAATATTACTTCCAGGAATTTTTTCACTATCAATTATGACTGTACCTTCGTTATCCCAATGTATTTTACTTTTACTTGTTTCAACTAAGTTTAATAATAACTGCCCTTTTTTATGATAAGTTTTTGGTATTAAACTGAGTATTTGAGCTGGTGTGTAAAGTGGATTTTCATCATTTTCTTTACTTTTAATGGATCGATTCTCCTCCAGCAAAGATTCAATATCAACTGAAGTTTTTAGATCTCTATCTTTATTTTTAAAACCAATTTTTGACTCATTTGAATCTTCATTAGATGTATCAGAATAAATTGGTAATTTGAGTGGTTGACGATCCTCTTCGGTAAAATGAAGGTATCTTTGCAGTGTTTGTAAATATAATATCCATTTCTTTCGGTCTTCCGTCTTACTATTCATAATATTTTGCATTTCAATATCTAATCGAGATAAATTACTATTAACCTTATTTTCTTGTTTTAATTTTTCAATCAATCCAGGTTCGATAAGTATCATTTTCTTTGCATTTTCCATGTTAACTGGCTAGTCCACTCACTAATCCACTCAATATTGCACCTAATATTGTTGGTAAGAAAGCCCCTCCTTTTTGTATAATTATATTTTTTCTTAGTTTATGTTTACACTTACGTACTAGTTTACGGAGTATGTTTTTATGTTTATTCAATTTTTGTTTATCCTGATCTTTAAGAGGTACTTTTCCTTGTAAAACGTTATGAATACACTCACAAATACAGTTAATTTCTTCTTCATCACACGTTTTAAGTAATGCTCTTTGATATTTTGGTTTAAGCGTATGCAAAGCGGTTAGCAAATGTTTATACGTTGTGAGTCGACGATGCATCATTTAGCAATGATTTCAATTGTTTGATTCTTGGTGTATTTAAACTCTTTTGTGGGGACGTAGACTGTACAGAAACCATTAAATGGAAAGACATTTGTCTTGATACGACAAAAATCATTGGTATTCTGTTTTAAATCTACCATTAAATATCCATGCGCCTCTAGAGTTGCATCCCTGTAGGCATTTTCAATGAATTTTGGGTTATCTGGTGATACTTGTCTTGCTAAATATCTTATTTGAGTTTTATCTCGAGGGTTTTTAAAATATATTATATAACTTGAGTTTAAAGATATGTCTCTTTGTCCTTTACCCTGATGAAATAAATTTTGTGTTAGATAAAATACACTAAGATTCCTGTGATGACTACCTTTTGTAAATATATCCACAATTCTTCCATCGGACTCTCTCATTAGATCATCAATAATAACAAGATGTGGGTTTTCACCATCAAACATATTAAGATTTGGAATTCCTTGATGATAGTTAACATTTGGTAAATTATATAATGGTTGCATTTCATCAAAGCACCATGTGATCTGATTAAAATCACAATTACATATTTCTGTAACTGATTTTATGAAATTTGTTACAAAATTTGACTTCCCACACCCACTTGGTCCTGCCACAATAGCAGTGAACGGATGGATAAAGTGAAACATAACACACGTCTAAAGTTCAAAGGGGTGAAATAAAAAATGAAAGTGTTGGTGTAAACAATTAATATATATTCCAAAAATTATATAAAACAGAATTATCTGTATACTATTTCTAACACAATTAGTACATCATAATTTTACAATTAACTCAACCTCAAATAAATAGAAACAACAATTAGTACATCATAATTTTACAATTAACTCAACCTCAAATAAATAGAAACAACAATTAGTACATCATAATTTTACAATTAACTCAACCTCAAATAAATAGAAACAACAATTAACTTAAATTATTTACAATAAAACAATGTTTAAATATGTAATAAACTACGTCATATTATAGTATTATCATAATTTTACAATCAATATAAATTTTTCTTAAACGCAGACATAAAAGTAAAAACTATCAACACTTAACGCAGTTTATAATGACCCCAAGCTAATGTTTCAATAATATTATCTAAAATATGTCTCTTTGTGTCATTATATGATAAACCTATCTTATTTAATTTTTGTGTGAAAATTGTGTGTTTAATTGATTTAAATCTAAGCATGCTATAATATTGCACTTTTTTATTAAATAGAGAAGACTTATAACTATTCATTGTCATCTTTTTAGTGATACATTTATTTACCCCTTTTGCCTTGGCTATAGTCTTATTCTCTAAGTTAAAAGCGTACATTTTGGATCGTAAACCCACAAATTCTTTTATGATTTTACCATTATTTTCATCTTTAAAAAAACCTAATTTCTTTTTATTTAATTTTGGATATTCAAAAATATTATTTGTATCATAATCTGAGGTATCAAAGTATGATGAAAGGTCAGGTTTTATATCAGTGTAAAAATCATTTGTAAATATATGATATATTAAACTATCCGTATCTGTATACAATAATTTGATTTTACTAAAC